CCTAAAAAAATGCTTTAGTTTCCACAATCAATTTTTCTTGTTTAATCGAATTTTTCCATGGGTCTGAAAATAAGAAAGGTTACCCACTGCAGCCAATGTAATTCATAAATAAATGATCTAAATGATATGCAATGTTAATAAAAGTTATATTAGTGTCTTTTGTTAGAAACGGCATCTGTATATCTCTCAGTCCTACAAATTATTGACCGATGTGTTTGTTAATAAATGGTACAGATACGTTGTTGCAATAGGCATTCAATACATAAGGATATAATATATATATTTGTTTGTTTGTTCGTTTGTTTGATTGTATGTGTGTGTATTTATGTGTGTTCTTTTGTATAAATGAAATATATACACTTACATACATGATTAATTCAAAATAAATAGCTACTATATGCATAACGTTGACCAGACTAAGAAGGCTGTAATAAAAATAAAAAAAATTAAGAAATCACTCCATCTTAATCAAGTGTCTTTTCAATGTCAAGTCAAATATATTAATTTGCCGATTAAACGTTTAAGAATAAAAGTAAAAAAAAATGTAAAAGTAATTTTTGCTCAATATTACGAGCATCATCGTATGATTTTTATGATTATATGACAATTTGTTAGGTTTCTTTTGGTTGTTTCTTTCAGTTTATTTATTTTCTTTTTCCATATTAATTTTATTATATAATAATAAAAATTGTGCAAATTTTTCAAAGTTTTTCCTTATAACGTAATTATTTCCTTTTTGAAAATTGAGAAAAACTTGCCGAGAGTTTTTTTGCCTAGTTTGTGTGCGAAATAGCAAAATAAGTAAAAGAAGAAAACGAAGGAAGATACGTGTGTTTATGGTTTTTGTAACACAGATGTGCTAGCCGTGAGATTGTTATGTATATCAAATATTCACTGACTTGTCATGCGACATTACAGATGCCAAGATATAATTTGCTAAAGGGAAAAATGTACTATAGGCAGATGCACACATAAACAGATAAATAAATTGATATACAAACATGTATGTGCAACATATAACAGAGCGGAAACCTTCTTTTACGCCACCATATCTGTCATAAATTCACATAACTCTTTGCTGAATACACTTAAAGAAATCATTATGACAATTATAAAACAATATAAGAAATGCTTATGGGATGTCAAATATTATTGAAAGTAAATATAAATATATATATTTAAAGGCTTTAAATAGGAGCATATAAGTTATCGAAATAATTCCCCTTTTAAAGACCCCTCATAAGCGTACACGCGTGTTAAATATTAGATAAAAATCATCTTCCATGCATTGTAAATTATGCATGGACAATAATATTTAGAAAATTTTGTTTTTTTTTTTTAATTTTCTTGTGATTGTGTTTTCACCTTTTTATGCCCACCACTGTAAGATGGGGGTATACTCATTTTGTTTTTTTTCCAAAATATACGTAACACCCAAAAGGAAGCTTCAGAGGCCTATACTATATATATTCTTGATCAGCGTGAAATTCTGAGTTGATTTAGTCATGGGTTTCTGTATATCTGCATGCTGTGTGGTGTGCGTTGCTGGCATTCTGCTGGTCGCAAACATGAAGATATCGAATTCAAATTTGATAGAAATATTGGAAATTTTTGCACGCAGGTTCGTATTGGAATTGGGCTAAATTGGTCAGAGCGAAGACGCAAAATGAAGCGTAAACTGAACACAGCTCAATTTTTTTTAGTAAAAATTTTTGGAAAATTAATAAAGTTAGAAAGAAAGCTGAAACTTTCCACATTTATTTTGGGAAACACTGCACAAAGTTACGAGTAATTAAATTTTTTCACTTTTTTGAGGTTTAATGATTATGTAGCAGAAAGCAAACAAGACAAAACGTTTAAAACTATTTTGTACACTCCTCATATGAAGATGAATATGGTAGATGCCGCGACTAAGTTTTTCTGAACAACACCAGAGATATGAATATCAAAAAAAAAAAAAGAACTTGCGGAGTAGAATGCGAAAAACATACTGGTGGTTATGCAAGATTCGGTCCCGCCGAATATAACCTTTTTACTTGTTTAAATGTAAGTTTTTACAAAAAAAATTTTTACTTAAATACTAGGTAGACATGTTTTATTGACACTCTTATCCAATCGATTGATCGCATTCATTTCTATGGGATCTAGCAGTGGAACTTGTCCAGCAGTCCGTTTTTACTGCTACTTTAGAGTATTGATTCGAAAGAATAGTATGAAACTTGTTGCTGTGACACGGGATGACCTAAGTATAATAGTTATTCATTCTAAACATGTTTTACGTAAAAATTCATGAACCTAAGCTACTAGGGACTACCTTCCTTTAATAAGCAACGATTATATTGTTTTTTATCGAAAGTTGACCTACAAATGTCAGTTGTTGTTTTTTCACTGGAATTATTGGAGTGTAGGAATCGAAATTTAAAAAAATTCAAAATGCAAAATATCTTATTTGCAAGCATATTAACAAGAACTAAAAAAAATTAAATGGGTTGTCGCTCTACTTCAACTCTGATCGCATATCGATTATCCGTGTCATGAAAATTTTAAAAGTAATCTGCCCTAGCAAGTGTGCTGTTGCTAAAAAAGATCGCGTATAAAAGTGAAACTTAAGAATCTCTATGTTTTTTAAGAGTACGCAAAAAAAGTAACCTCAGAAGGGAAGATTACACATCAATTTTTAGGCTAACTGTATGAATGTAATAATTATAGTCGGGGGAACAAATTATGAAAGCGAGTTCAAATGTATATCTCATTAAACTGACAAAGAGCCTTTTTTCTGTAGGATAAAGGTCATTGAGTAAAATCACAAAAGGAATTACTCATCGAAGATATCTGAAAGTATTTATGCTTATGCTTTTATGCTAGGTATTGTTATTGATGTTTACTCTTACAGAAGTGCTAAACGATGATATTAAACAATTATTTTCGATTTTATTGATTATAATTAAAAGTTCAACCAAAGCCACCCTTAAATCAGCCAAGAACAAATGGAAAAAACAAAGTCGCAAACAAAAACGTAAGTATCGAATAACTATTACAAAATAATTGTTTTCTAATGGGTCTCAAGTGTATACATTAAGTATATAGATAAAGACTCTATGCAAGATTAGCAATAAAGGGGTAAATTATATGTACTTTAAAATCCGTTTTAGGTACTAACGGACTACCCAACATTTGTTATATATAATTATCGCATGGTATACGGATTTAATAAGGTTCTCTTCTCGCTTAATTTTACACCAATATCTCCTGCTCCTGTTTGAAAACATTCCGCAAGGTTTGAATTATGGCTATATATACTAAACTCTAGTTATTCAAGTTAATTTATGCAACTTTAGGAAATATAAATAATTCCTACTTCCGACATTGTAAATATTGTAGATCAAATTCTTAAATTGTCAGTTTTTATCTAATCGGAAATTTGGTTTTTTTTTTCTTATATGCGTTTGCAAAATCTGAATCCTTCTGTTTCGAAACACACACTATTCGGAACAACTTTAGCTTAGTTTGATAAAAGTTTTGCCTTTTTATTTATTCAACATTATGAAAAATGAAATCTTTCAATTGGTATTTCTGGAGATCGCCCAAACAATGTCAAATTCGTTATGCTTTAGAGTACGATATTCGCAAATAAGATAAAATTAAAACTTAATGAAGGTGTGGTGGGTGCACATAGATTTCTCTATAAACGTGCCATATTAGTTTGGGGAAAAAGAAATCCATTATTTTTTCGGTAGATGGCTGCACTGATAGATTTCTCCTAAAGTATCGATCAAACAATTTCAGATTTATGCTCGTTGGAAAGGTGACATTTCGCCGTAAAAAAAACTCTTTTACTGTTTTTTGTTTGGTGCATTCAGTTGTGAGTTACAGCGTGTTCAACATGGAAGTGAACAAAGAGAAAATTCGGTACATTTTACAGTTTTTCTTTGACAAAGGCGAAAATGCAAGCCAGGCGGCTAAAATTGTGAATGGTGTTTAGGGTTCCGATACTGTAACAGCCAATTATGTGCAATTTTGGTTTCGTAGATTCCGTTCAGGAATTTTTGATATTAAAGATGCACCTCGCACAGATAGGCCGGTCGTCGGAAATGTCGATAAAATCGGAGAAATGATCGAAGTTAACCGGCATGTTAGCAGTCGTAACATCGCCCACTAGCTAAAAATCGACCATAAAACAGTTTTAAACCGTTTACACAAAGCTGGATTCAAAAAGAAGCTCGATGTTTGGGTGCCACACCAATTAACAGAAAAAAACATGATGGATCGAATTTCCATCTGCGAAGCCTTGGCCAAACGGAATGAGATAGACCCATTTCTTAAACGGATGGTGACTGGAGATGAGAAATGGATCACATACGATAACCCTGTGCGAAAACGATCGTGGTCAAAGAGCGGCGAAGCACCTCAAACGGTGGTCAAACCAGGACTAACGGCCAGGAAGGTTTTGCTATGCATTTGGTGGGACTGGAAGGGGATTATTTATTATGAGTTGCTTCCATATGGCCAAACGCTAAATTCTGATCTCTACTGTCAACAACTGGACCGCTTGAACATAGCGATTGACCAGAAACGGCCAGAATTGGCCAACAGGAGAGGTGTCGTGTTCCACCAGGACAACGCTAGGCCACACACATCTACAGTGACTCGCCAGAAACTTCGGGAGCTTGGTTGGGAAGTTTTAATGCATTCGCCATACAGTCCGGACTTGGCACCAAGCGATTATCATCTTTTTCTTGCATTGCAAAATTTCTTTAATGATAAAAAATTGGAATCTAGGGAGGATTGTGAAAATCGACTACTAGAGTTTTTTGCAAATAGAGACTAGGACTTCTTTGAGAGAGGCATTTTGAAGTTACTTTTAAAATGGCAACAAATCATACAACAAAACGGTGCATATTTGACCCAAATCGGACAATCCGAAGCATGTTAAATAAAGTCCTGAAGTTCATATAAAAATAATGGATTTCTTTTTCCCCAAACTAATATTTTACTCAATGACTTAGGGCAAGTTCGTACGATTTTTTGTACGTATTTTGCGACATTTGTTCTTTTCTTTTATGAATATAGTAGTTTCACACACGTATACATAGATACATATAGATATACAAATAAAAAGCTTCTTTACAACTGCTTAGATATCTTCTGAAGTTTCGTCAACCTTTAAAGGATATACAACGCCTTCATCCTCATCGTAGTCATTATTATCATCACCATCATCATCATCATTATCACCATCATCGGTGTCCTCGGCGTCATTATCATGCTTACGTAGATATTTCTTATGTAAATGTTTACTGCGAGCCGGTAAAATATCACAATTCTGATAGTCATCGTATAAAATTTCATCATAACCATCCCGATTGGCTTTATTACTAAAAGAATCGACAGTTTTGGCATGATGTATACCACCAACATTGCTATTCGCTCTAAAAATACTGCTGCCAGCGCCCGGCGTAGAACCACCCGGATTCATCGCAAAGCTCATTATTTTGTAAACCGTCTGCTTAGTACCTTTTTGATTGTTGTGATATACATGCGTGTAGACGGTGTGTGTGTGATGATGCGTACGTATTTTCATGGGAATATGAATGATAAAATGTTTACGAGGCTCACTAGCAACCCTGCCTTTGCCGGGCATCGCAGCCGCCACCAATAACGAGGATATTATTGTAAAACTTAAAAGGAATTTATTAAGCGTTAAATTGACACTTGATCCGATCTGTAAAAAGTTGCTTTTATTATTCTCAATTAAAATTTACTGGGAAAATTTAGTATGTCTTTATAAAACTTTAACTTGTCTTACGAGAAACTTCTCCATTTTTTATTTCAATTTATTTCTTTTAGTTTGTTTTTTTGGTTTTTTTTTTAAGCTTGCTTTTGTTTTTTATTTCTTCTCTTGTTAAATTCTCTCGTGAATGCTGAACTTTTTGCCATTAAGTTTTCAAACGAACTGTCTGCTTATTTTAAATATTTAGTGAGTTTTATACCAAAAATATATTAATGGTGGTGTTTATTATAGCCTTTCAATGCTTTTGCATTAAAAATATACACGCACACATATAAATATGTTACGAGCAACGGTTAAGTTACTTCTTTGTTTTAATGTTTTCGATCATGGTACACGCAAAATTATTTGCCTCTTTATGCATATCTCTGTATTAATTTACTTTCGCGTTATTTTTCTCTTATAAAAATCTTTGCTGATTTAGGAAAATCTTTAGTTCCGTTTGCTTAATCGAATTTTAGTTTCATTAACGGATAAACGTTAAGGGGAAGTAAAGCCTTTAAAAAAAAGATAAGAAATTGAACGTTTTTATAAAACTTTTTAAAAATTTATATTTATATATAAGCACCCTTGAACAACATACTCTTAATGATTTAATAGACAGACAAATGGATAACTTTGTTTAACCAATTGGCTGCCATTGAGGAGTATACTTGTTAGGGTTAAATGACAGTATTTCATGTTATGACGAACATATTAATCATAGCACGTATATATAGATTTTTGAAAAAAAAGCAACGACAACTCATTGATTAGATTTAAAGGAGATTGTACTGGATATCAAAAATTTCGAAAAGACTAACTCAAATCATACTTCATTGACCCAAAAATCTGAAAGAATTTTTTTCGACAGAATTTTTTATGAATTTTTGATTTCTGAATTACTTTGAACGCTTAGATAAAGAGGATTTTTTCGAAATATCCTCTGGAAAGACTGCGTGGTGTACTTCTCCGATGCAAAATGTTAATGAATGCTTTGCATATTTACTTATTTCCATCTCAAACGTTATGCACTAATAATGATATATTGAGGCGTATGTATGGTTCATTTTATTCTTCCTGTTGTTTTTGGCGTGAAACCTTATAAAATTGATGTTAATATTGAGATGAATATTTAAAGAATTATTAAACTCGATTAATGGAAAACGTTGCGTTATAATATAGTTTATATGTATATATGTATATATTTATATATATATATATGTATAAAATGGGTTTTTACATTACAGAGATGTAAAACAGAAATGAATTTTATTAAAAATTTTGCATAAATGCATAGGTTTAGCGGAAGTAAAAATTATAAAATAGATAAAACATATCAAACATAGAAAATATATCTGCTATATTGTAATGAATTATATAATTTAGAAATAGATAGAATATGTTTCAGAAACGAGAGTTCCGAATCATTGATTGATTGATCATGTATGTGTTTTTTTTTTAAAGTGGAAAACCATCGAAGGCGTCTATTTGGGTCAGTGCGAAATTTGAACCCGCCAAACACCACCTGCACTCCTACGTAGCACGACCGCAAAGTATACTTTCACAGGGAAGGTAGCCATTTAAGCCTTATCTATGAGCCTGCATTTACCTCTTCGTTTCATTATATTCTCATTATGTTTGCGCCACTTCTACCGCTTTCCATTGTCTCAGATCGTGTAGCATATTTGCCACGAGGTCGTCCGAGAGAATACACTCTCCGATTTCCGTCTGCAGTGTCTGTCATTCGTTTTGGTAATTCAGACGGACTACTCGTTCAGGAATACACGTTCAGTTCGGCCTCATAAAGGCATTCTTTAGCCCGCAATTCGGTTAGTATTATGCCAGCGGTCACCGGCGCGACATCTTCTGACACCGTACAATATGGGGCGCAAACAATTAAAGCACATAAACGTGATGCAGTCTGGATGAAGTTTCTACGGTCCACGCTTTTTAGACAGCAAGCGCGCTAGTGTTTTTTTACCTTCGTAGCTTTCTTACATTTATATCGTAGATGCTGTTTATGTGATTGTCTGCAGTCGATCATCGACGTTATATTTGTATTTTATAACGTCTTGGGATTTCATCTTAATTTCATTAACTTCGCCTCGGTCTTGTCTCCTGCAAGGTTTAGATCAACCGACTGGAGCTATCTCACGGTCTATATGCTATGATGATGATTTGCTCTAAATTCGGGGGCTACGATTGTTATTGCTATATAGTCAGTAGACCTCACAATGGAAACTTACTCTAAGAAAGATAATCTCAAAAGCTCATCGTACATCACAATTCATAATGTGGCACCTCGGAATGGTCCCTGGTGTATCCCTTCTGCGACCAACCATTTTCTGTACCCTTCTTCTGTTTCATATCAAAGTTTCCTGCGAGTAAACTAGTTACCCACGATATTGGTACCATAATGCGATACTCTTCTTTTCGAAAGGACAACTATGACAGAATACTAATTTGCTGACAGCATTTTTTGTTACTTACCACCCAAAATTTCCATTACATCTACAGTGCTCCCCTTTTTCCTGAAACCAAAATGGCAATCCGACAGGCCGTTTAAGCTCTCCAGTAATTCTTCTATACGCTTACCTATTACCTCCTCGCACACTTTGTCTGTCATGTCCCGCAGACAAATAGACCGGTACGTCGTTGGTGTATGTAGCGGTTTGTTTGGCTTCAGCAATAGCATGAGCGTTTGGTATTTCCACTTGCGCGGAAAATGTATTCTCTCAAGCACTCGTTGAACATACTCACAAACATCGCTGGGTTTGTTAGAATTGCCTGTTTTATAGTGCAGTTGTGGATACCACTAGCACTCGGGGTTTTCTTGTCTTTAAATTGCCTTTCGGTAACGACAATTCCCTAAGGGGTTAATCTAACATTTTTCCCCACCTCCGTCATTGGGTCAGATGCAAACGTGATTTTCTGTAGGAACGACTATTTCGTCTACGAACTCGGGACACAGTTGAATTAAATGTTTAAGTTTTTTCGTAGTCAATTCGTATGCTAGGATCAATGGATCATACTCTAACTCTTCAATTCGCGTTTGGAAACAACTTCTCTTACTGGATATAATCGCTTTTTTAAACTGTGTTCGCCTGTCTTTGTACACTGGTTGAAATTAGCATTAGTTCCCCTTGATATTTGGTACAGTCTTCTTGCTCAATTGCATTGAGTTCTTAGGTCGACTATGTCGTCGGTCCAATAATATACTGGTTCTTTCCACTTACAGAAACATCGTCTGGCCCTTGATCCATCACACGCTCATGTAATTCGTTTCATAGTGTCTGCTACTAAGCCATTTTTGGGTCACGATTCTTCCAGCATGTATCCAAACAACTCCTTATCTAGCGATTCTGCTTCCTATTTGGGACCTGCGAGAGGTCTTTTCACATTGGCCGCTGGTTTTCAATTAGTTGCATTAAGGTCATCTGCGGCTACTAGTATTTTTTAACCCGCAAGTTGCTAAACTTTTTCTTTTATTTGTATTTCGAAGTCGGCTTGATTGGTACTTGGCGAAAAGTACTAAGTATAGAGATATCCCTCTCTGTAATTAATGCATGGTCCCATGCTGAAACAAATCTCATGTATGAGGAATGAGAGTCGCATTGCCAAATTACTGCCATATCCGTTGTGTCCTTTGCCCGTTTTCCAAGCCATAGCATAACAATGTCAAAAAAGTTGCGTTAGCTTTATATATGGTTTTGGATCGTACTGTCACTTGAATTTATAGTGTAGCCTCTGGCAGCGAGGGGTTTGCGCCCTTCATTAGGCCTATGTTGCTCTATTGTAGTAAAAACACAATTAAAGGTTCGTTTTGATGATTATTTGTTATTGATTATTTTACTTCTTACTTTACTTCCGACTTTACATCTGACTTTACTGAACTGTGGTCAGTAATTTATATAATAAATTATTATGCTAACTTAAGCAAAATTGTGGAATTAAACTAGGCTATTAATAAAGTTACATGTAGAGCTAGATTGCGTTATATTATCTAGGTCATAGCTTGACTTGCAGTATGTGGAAATATGTAGGACAGATCTTAACTAGGTTATAGCTACGTTTACATTATGTGGAAATATAATGAAGTGTGAACTAAGCATAAATGATTATTGAATGGACAGATGACGATAAATCGATAATGCTACACTAAGCATATACCACAAGAGGAGGTTTTACTGTAATCTTCAGCATTTCCTTTTGTCTTTATCACCTTCACAATCCCTAGCGATATCTTCAGCTATCTGGAGCATGTCTGCACTACTGGTTTTCCACAAATCTTGCTTACTACCTAGCCAACTTTAATTTTCGAGTCGTACTCTAGCAGTGCTTATCGGAACCGACAGAGTTGTTGTTTGCGTATCGGCATATACCTTTCTGATGGACACTACCGCCCCTCTCTGTCAGGAGTCAGAGTGGATCATCTCTATGCGTGTGCATGCATGAATTTGTTGGTTTTATTCCTGACATCCCATCGACAAAAAAATTCACTTCAATCATATACAATCTATATACATGATGCTAGCTTCTCAAATATGCATTTCGTACTTGTACACCGTGTATATACATATTGCCGCAAAAGCAAACTAAATTTTCGTCGGAATTAACTCTAATTGTATCAAAAATTTATATACCCCAATATGCCTCACAGTCTCACAGTCAAAAAATTGTGTTGTGGCTTGAGTAGGAAGTTATTTGTATAGTTTAAATTCATTTATTTATCTAAACAAGCTATATGTAAACATACAGGTCACTCTTTTTTTGTTTTCGAATTATGTAAAAAGAAAAAAATCTTCAAAAATAAAGCAAAAAAAAAATTATATTCGGCTGTGACGGAGTCTTCCGCATCAATCACCTTTATCCTAAAAACGAATAAAAAAAAAAAGAAAAAATAAATTGTCGTACTCTATAATGTGGGAATGGTGCGGCTAACAGTTTTTATTTCGTAGAATATGCGTAGTAGCTATCAAAAAGGCCAGAAAGCAAAAATATTTTGAGTTTATGCCCTTTAATCGACTTAGGCCTCTTTTCAACACCCACTTGAACTCAAAAACTTCTTAACATTTTTGTCAATTTTTAATGTCCGCACAAGCGTTGCAGATATGTTTTTCCATGAACGCCTAAGCAAGTTTCTACAACTATGCAAAAACTTTTATACGCAACATCAAAAAACATGAGCATATTAATCTTCTGTCTTCATAAGAAATCTCAACATAATCATTATAGGCTTCATAATTAAAAATGGAAGCAGTTCGGAAAAGGAAAAAAATACTAAGTCATTTGTCACGTCATTAAAATTTTGCAAACAAAAGTTTGAGGTAAAAATAGTCACGCGGAGTAGCTGATCCACTCACGTCGCATCTGTTGACATTAAAGATTTTGTCCAAAATGTATATAAATTTCTTATAGGTTTCATAACTTACCGCAAAGCTTTCATTAAATTATCTTTACATTTGAGAAACTATACCAGATATCTAAGCCTGGCTTGGATGAATGCATACATATGTATAGAGAAATATGAAGCCAATTATGAAAAACTAAAATAAATGTTCATTTAATAACTCCAGTAAAACTTATAAATTTATTTTGAACATAAATTTGAATATTTAATGACCAAAGAGAAGAGAAAAATGGAGATAGAGATCGAAATAATGAAACAGAGGGAGAAACAAAGAGATAAAATGAAATTAAAAACAACTTCAACCCAAAATACCAAAAACGACGATTATTGATTTTGGACATTAACGTGTCCATATTGTGCTTATTTTGCTTCTTTTCGTTGGATATGATGGCAAGCGGGGTTTCTTCTAGGTAGGTCTTTATGCACGTATGCCTGCATTTAAGCGAATACGTGTATGTATGTATGATAGCAATTTTATTTATAATTTTATTTAATCTTTCGAAGCATATATAAACAGACTTAATAAAAATAAAGACAAAGAAGCAGACAGGCAGACAGACAGACAGACGGGTAGACAGACGGACCGACAGTCCGACGATTACATATGTAACGACTAGTTCAGTGAGGTTACGTTTGCTTACACGATATATAAACTCGCTTGAATTTGAACAAGGACAAGGTGCATATACTACGCGATATCTGAATGCGTATATGCGCGTGCGGCAGTAAACATTAATGACACCAAACATGTCGTGCATTGCATCGTTTTATAGCGGTGGTGGTCGGGGTTTAGTTAACGCTCGTATGCATATGTTATTAACACTTTTTTTAATGCATACAGCATTTAATTCTTTTACAATCTCATTTGAATATTTGGCTATCCGCTACATGTGCTGTGTTATGTGTGCTACGTATGTGAATTTATCCGCAACTGATTTAATACACACACTTGCCTACGAATGCATATATGACATATATATATATATAAAAATATATATGAACTTACTTGTATTTAATTTGGATTTATGATTTCTGCAAGACTTGTGATATACATCACGTTGTTAACAAAAAAAAAAAAAAAGAAGCAAATATACTATAACTATAGTAGAACATGACTCGCCATTAAATACACCACCCTACAGTTATATACCGTATAATGACTTTTCAAAATAAAGTGTTATTTACGAAGTGGTCGAAAAAATGATCTGATATAAATTATTTGCAATAGCGTTTGTTGTTGTAGCAAAGAACGTCGGTGTTCGAAACATCTCAAAAAATTACCACCTACAGTTTGAGCACAAGAAAATAAAGCGGGCAGAAAGGCAAGCTTTGATCGATCCAGAATTATCTTCTGCATAATAGAAGATGGGTCTATCTCAAGTTTTGTGTGGATGTTCCATACAGCCGAACAAACTTCATGCACCCTTGTACCCCAAATGGTGTGGGGTGTAATAAAAAAAAAATACATAAGCATTTAGTTTTCTTCCATCTTATTTGGCGAAAGTACATTTTTTTTTTCCAAGTAAGAGACTTTTTATGTAATATTTCTCGTTTCGTTTAAACCGCGTTTTGCTTTTATTGATATTTTATTAAATACCCAATTGTGTTCTTATGTTGAGCAAACGATTAAGAAAGAGAGTTTAGAACTTTTTTCGCTTCAATTCACTCTATTTTCAATGAAATTCATGCAAATGCCAGAGCAGTAAGTGTAGCAAAATTTCTCAAAATTCTCGATACGGAAGTTGAACGTAGGAGTGTATGGGCAAGCGTTGAATAGGCAAAAGGTGAAAAAAATGAAAATGATACTGAATTCATCAGTGTAATGGAAGGTGGATCTATTTTGAGTCTTTCTTCTTTTTACATCCGCGCTGTACCATACGCGGTGAACGATATTTATGATGCCGACCAGCGAAAGATGAATCACAATAATTGTAAAATGTCGCTTTATGTTTAGAAACGCATTCACGCTTCATCAATGCTTACAATTCGTCCAATTATTTTTGTTGAAATTTATTTTGTTGCAACTAATTCAATAAGTAAGAAATTCACTCTTTTCTGTGCAAAAAATTTGGAGCAGCGTGAATATCGTTTAAAGGTTTAGATAATTTAGGTTTAACAATTTATAACGCATTTTTACCGTAAACCTAAATTATTAGATACCCTCGTTCTTTCTGCTGGTTATCAAAAGAGGAGTTCACTAACATACTGTTTCAAGTAATCCACCGATACTTTGCGTGAGAGTTTCTTTAACGTTAGCGATTACAGTGTTAGCATTCTAACAGAACGAACAAGTACATTTCAATCATGTTGACGATATTAAGCTGATCACAAATAGATATCGGTTTCGGATTCGGTGTTATGCGTGAAAGATTATAGCTAACATAACTTCCCTAATTAAATTTTATTGCACTCTCTTTTGTAGAAAAGTAGTCTACTTTCATAAATCAAAAAATTAATCTAACTATGACGAAACATTGATAATCCTTTATGTGTGTTCCTGAGGATCCCTTCCCTATTTCATTTTATATAGTAGTTATCGTAAGATCGCAGAATTCTTGGATGAATTTCACTCTTACTCATACGTATAAGCAACTATACGCGATAATTTCAACCAATCAAACTATGAACTACGTAATTTATAATAATTTTCACTTCAGAGCAGATGGTGTTTTCCACTGCTCCTTACTACTTTTTCTCCTTATCGTTGTTCTTGCAAGATTTCTATAACTGTACGTGTGTGTGTGAGAAACTTTATAAATCTTGTTCCTCATACAATTACAATAATCTTTTGCTCATTATCTCAAATCTTTTGCCATCAAATTATTAAACTAACTTACAAACAATTACAAACCACCGCTATCACCTCCACCTCAGCAACATGCAACACATGTCCTCTCACACTTGCGTTCACCTACTAAAGCTTTTAGATGTATTTTTTTGTTTTTCTCATAATAATTTTGCTTTTGCTAAGCTTGCACAACAGTGCGTTCTGTTTTTGCTTTTGCCTTTTATTGTTCTCTAAAGTTGATTGCCAGCTAACAAGAAATTGTGCGACAATGCACATATGAAGTGAGTAAAAAAGTAAAAAAGATGAATTCTTCCCCGTCCACTTTATCGGCACTCCTTCTCGCGCTTTTAAGACCAAAAATTAACCGACGTCTCACTAGACAACTATCTTGTTGTATGATTACTCCTTACCCGAATTAGCAGTAAACGTTTAATAACAGGGAAAATAATAAATACATAGAAAAAAGCTAATAGACAGCAGTTGATATGTAGTTGATCTTAGACGAAATTCTCGAGCCTATCCATTGGAAAAAGAAAAACAAAATTTACAATGTAGAGCCTAGGCTCTAAACAAAGTAGAAAAAAAGTATTAACGACATTTTGTCAATGGCTGGTAAACGTATAAATCGATTTTGCAGATTTTATATTTAAATTCTAAAAGATAGTAAGAAGTAAAGCATAATTTTAACATTATGGAGTTGCTTAGGCGC